CCTTGTGACATCATCTGTCAGTCATCAATGAGCTAACTTGAAAAAGTGGTATCTTTGCCTATGAAACAAATTCAGAAGTTTATATCAAAATATGAGATGTATGCAGGACTGCACACCAACAGGAATACACTTGTATTTCAATGTCATGGGCCCTTTAAAAATCTCAAACATGTACTGTACATGTATATGGGTCAGTCAATGAAGTTGAGGCAAAGAATATGACCATGTCCATGTAACATTGGTATGACCGTATGAGATCTTCTACTACACATGGAAGATGAAATCATCTATAGAATATTTGTATGCAATGAATATTTATAGTGGCGCCTTGCCAGAATCATTCCTGTTTCAGTTGGCTCTCTTCAAAATCTTTGCTTAATACACATTTCTCTTTTTACCAGCATTACATCATGATCATATCCAGGTAACTTGACATAAACTTTGAGCAATTCTGAAGATCGTTGGCTTTGCTTGTTATGCTATGCTAAACTCAATTTGAGCAAACATCGTTCCAGTTGAGAGGAGACATGTATGTACATTGTACATGTAGTTTCTCACCTCTGGTATGTCACAAAAATTGCCCCACCCCATGGAATGACCCATATACAGTAACACAGTACATGTAAGATGAGTCAAACTCCTACCAATTGTTAGAAGTAATTGGGTTTCTCTGGGAATCCTATTCAGGTTGAAAAAGACTCTATTATAAAGTAGTCTGCACGAACAGACTCTATTTTGACAGATACTTGACACAATTCCATTTTATTAGCATTTGTTCAATTCTCTGTTGTGCTAAAGATAGGGTAAAAAAACAAAGAATAACATAAGAAAAGATAGAAGATAAAATGACAGAAGGATGGAATAACATAGGAAATTATACATTAGAAGAGAAAATGATGAAGTCTCAAAGAAAGGATAACTACATGTATTAAAGATAACAAAGACAACAAAAACAAAATATACATGTACAGTGTATATTGAATGGGATACCAAAAGGAGTAACGTTAAAAGGGGGCCCCATTCCCAGAAATCTTAATGGTTTACACTTGAGGGAGGAGAATTGTTCCAGAACCTGCACAGTCCATTAAATTCTCTGTTCTGTATGTTCCACCATCGGACCGTCCCCTTTCAAAAGGTCCCAAGTGTCTTGAGTCGCAGTTTAAAGGTAAAGACCAGTATTGGCAACGCCCCAATTTCAAAAAATGAAATGGAAGCTCTCATTACCAATCATGTGAAAGAATATGTTTTGACTAATACATGATGATAAAAAATTTGCCGGGAAACCGCCTACTAATTCATATATTTGGTAAATTTATTTCTCTCATGGTCTGGTGAGAGAGATAGGGTAGTCCCATATACATCTTTCTGTGTATAGTGCTTGTAACTTTACGAAGAATGAGCCAAATTTCTTATCATTTTGATGATTCCAGAACCTTGCAGATGCTAGATGCTAGATGATCGACCTTTTCTGATCGATTCCACAACGTTTCTTTCACAATGCAATCGCATGACCATTACTGGTCTTTACCTTTAAACTCTTGTCTGGTCGTAATGTCTACCAAAGAGTCCGTCTCATTTCAGGTTTGACCCACAGACTGACCCGGGTGACATTCGTCAGTGTGAAAGCAGTGTAAAGTCTGACGTTGTAACACATTCACACAGCATGAGTCAGAGGGGAATGAATGGGGGATTTCCAAGAAAAAAAAGTTCAAAGTTACTCAACTTCTTTCAATCTTTACAAATGTTCTTGGTATTTAAACGGCGAAATTATTCTCTAATTTGAACGTGGGAGGTACCGTATGTCAGCTAATCCATGGTTGGCAGCACTACGTGTACATTTAAATGTGGTTGCAGGCCTAAATACATGTTCTCACAATTCTCATAATTTTCAGTAAAACAATACATGTTGTACATGTATCTGTACCTTCCTTGTCTTCCCTTTTCCTGGACCATTCTTTCTTTTATTTAGAACTCTCTCTCTCTCTCTCTCTCTCTCTCTCTCTCTTCTTTTCTTTTTCTCCCTCTCCTCTATCACCCTATCTCCCCCCATCTCTCTCTCTCTCTCTCTCTCTCTTTCTGTCTGTCTCTCTCTCTCTCTCTCTCTCTTTCTGTCTGTCTCTCTCTCTCTCTCTCTTTCTGTCTGTCTCTCTCTCTCTCTCTCTCTCTCTCTCTCTCTTTCTGTCTGTCTGTCTCTCTCTCTCTCTCTCTCTCTGTCTCTAGCTATCCCTATCCCCCTCTCTCCCTCTCTCTCTCTCTATCTCTCTTTCCTCTGCCTTTTTAGCGCCTTCCTCACTATGCTATAGAAACTTGTGTTTTCCCTATACATACTGTACATGCATGTTGAGTATAACAGTCCCACATGATCAGACTTGCGTTGGTTAACGATGCCGAACAGCTCACTAACCTGTTGCTATCCATTAGGGTAAAACGTACAGTAAACATGAGGCAGCACTAACAGCACAGCACCTGTAAAGCACACTCAAGGTTTAATTGTCAAATTAGAGTATGTTCTTGCACATTTGGAAGAACATACTAGCAGACATTAGGCCTGTCGTCATCAGGCCGAAGTTACAAAATAACCCGCAATTTTAATCAGCCCGATCTCAAATTAGCCAGCTAATTTGCATCTTCATCAGCCCGCAGATGCAACTAGCGGGCTATTTTGTCGAGAAAATATCCCAAGAAATCTTGGTCTCGTTTCCAAAAAAGCGGGCTAATTTGCGCCCGTCCGAGCTAGTTTGTGAGGAGCGCATCACTATTTTGAGACTTGGGATCCGTATTATCCCGAAGTTCGAAATTGTGTCATCCCCAGGCCGATATGCTCATCACAAACTAGCTCGGAAACAAGACCAAGATTTTCGGGATATTTTCTTGACGAAATATACTGTACGGCTAATTGTAATTGCCGGCTCGTGAAGACGCAAATTAACAAGTTAATCTGCGATCGGGATAGTTAAAATATCGGGTTATTTGGCAATCTCGAGCTGATGAGGAAAGGCCTGTCCTACCGTCTGTCCTACCGTCTGTCCAAGCATGCAGGCGTAGACTCTCCTTTGAAAACTCACAAGGGTCTGCATAGTGCAGACTACTGTAGATGTGAACTCTGTTCAATGTGAATCTACAAGCTACATGGTACATGTATGTTGACACATTTGGTGCATGTGCACACATGTATGTGATTCCAAATGATGATGTGCTTGGAACAATCATGGTAACAGTTGCACTGTAAACACATGATCCGAGTGTTGATTAAAGGTTGGGCAACGGTAATAAATTTTCCCAGCACAATTTTGAAAACATTGGTGGGAAGATAAATGAACATTTTGAAAACTTGAAGGAATATATAATATATTGTATTCCAATACATACCTTACACTACAGGTTTGTTTAGCCCAGTGGCATAACAGGTATTAAGGGTTGGAGGGGTGCACCCATAGGGGAGGGGATGGAGATAGTGGAAGATGCTATCTCTTTTTCCATCTCCCCTTTTTTCACCATTGAAGGACACAAGCCCCGTCCCCATCCCATAGCTACTTCAGCCAAACAATAAATCAATCCATGGAGAGAAAAATAATTGATGCTTTTGAAATAATCTATTATTTATTGTATATAATTATCATGAATTGATTTTTTTTTTTTTGGGGGGGGAGTGGGGGTCACACATTCAAATAAAGTTGACAATTTGAAATTCCTACTTCTTTCGAGACCGTTTCCTTTAAATAACAGCAGCTGGAATGTTACAAGCAAACATTATTATCTAGTCATGATTGGGGGGAAGCGTTGTGGTTCGAACTCAGCCTACATTTTTACAGGTGGAACATGACTTAACTATACACCCTGTACAGTACAGCCTCTCACTTTCAAGAGGTGCCCTCCTCGAGTGGTTTCGACGCTTGACTGGAGAGATGCAAATTTAAACGACTCTAACAGACTAAGGGTGCGTTCAAGCGATTTTTTGAAGCTAGAATAACAATCATGAATAACAAATCAAAATGCCGTTAAAAAACACGTTTACTGCAGGAAAGCGTTAAGCGATTTTTCATCAACGCTGATTCTTGCTATTTCAAGCCCAGCCACTGCTCATCACACTGTGCAGTTTGACCTAGGAAGTATAGGTCAACTTTGCCGCATGCTTTCTGTCTGTTCTGTGTTGAGAGGCGACTGTCGGCCAAACCGGAAGCAGGCAGCGATAATGTCATCAAGCAATTTTTAGCGACCGTGATTCTGTAGAATCACGATACAAAACGCATCTTTTTCATGTTTGCGATTTTAAACATGTTTACTTTTACAACTGTGCTGATATTATGTAAGTCTTGACAATAGACTACGGTTCTCAACATGGCTCATGAGATTGAATCATGACGCAGTTTGGTTCTAATAAAGACACCTGTAAACATTAACCTCCAAGCCTCCGTATCATGACTTCTACTGTAGAACCATTACCAAAATATAATATGGTGTCAGGTCTTCCCGATCAAGGACAGATGTTGACTTCGAGGGAGGATAGAACCCAGGAATAAACAGGTGCAGGATTTCCATTTTTACGCCAGATTGAAGGGCTCAGTCCCGTGTGTGCAAACTGTGTGTATGTGGCTATGAGTGCGTACATGCGTCGGCATATTTTAACTCGGTGAAATTGCTTGTCTCGTTAGTTTGACTAGGTTGTAAAGATACCACAATAGTAAATAAGAGGTTAAAGCATTGAGCTTCCCTCATCTAACTCTATCTGCCAGAAACCTGAGGACGCATCTAATTTGCTGAAGTACTTAGCTCCTGCAAACTGTGCTGTTATTTCCTCTCTTGATGGTAGCTGGTAGTGCTCTCTTTTTATGGACCTATTTAGATCTCTTGGATCGAGACATACTCGAAGCTGATTGTTTTTCTTCATCACCACCACGAGCGACGACACCCAATCACTTGGTTCATCCACTGGTGTGATAACTTTAAGTCGAAAAATTCCATTTCCACTGCGAAATCAGCTCAAGGATGAGCTAGATAAAATGGAACGACTTAAAGTTATCACACCAGTGGATGAACCAAGTGATTGGGTGTCGTCGCTCGTGGTGGTGATGAAGAAAAACAATCAGCTTCGAGTATGTCTCGATCCAAGAGATCTAAATAGGTCCATAAAAAGAGAGCACTACCAGCTACCATCAAGAGAGGAAATAACAGCACAGTTTGCAGGAGCTAAGTACTTCAGCAAATTAGATGCGTCCTCAGGTTTCTGGCAGATAGAGTTAGATGAGGGAAGCTCAAGGCTATGTACTTTCATAACGCCATTTGGGAGATACAGATTTCTCAGATTACCATTTGGGGTCTGCAGTGCGCCAGAAGTGTTCCACAAGGTTGTGCATAATTTGTTCGCACACATACCTGGTGTCAACACAATGATGGATGACATAGTAGTATGGGGGTCAACCCAACAGGAACATGACACCAGACTGAAACAGGTCCTTGACATAGCTCAGAAAGCAAATCTGAAACTCAACAGAGACAAATGTGAGTTCAATGTGAGCCAAATGACATTCATTGGCGATGTGATCAGTGAACAAGGTGTTCAACCAGATCCAAAGAAGGTTGCAGCCATATTGAACATGGAAAGACCACAGAACAAGCAAGATGTTCAAAGGTTCTTAGGTATGGTTAACTACCAAGGAAAGTTCATACCAGATTTATCCACAAAGTCAGCCCCGCTGAGAAGTCTTCTTGAGAAAAGAAATGAGTGGATGTGGCAAGATGCACAAGAAAAAGCTTGGTGTCAACTCAAGGAAGCTCTGACACAAGAACCAGTGCTCCATTTCTATGACAGCACAAAGCCGACGAAGCTATCAGCTGATGCATCCAAGAATGGACTAGGTGCAGTGCTACTGCAACAACATGACCAGAATTGGTTCCCCATTGCTTATGCATCGAGAGCAATGACTGATGCAGAAACTCGCTACGCGCAGATAGAAAAAGAACTGCTAGCGATGACGTCTGCATGTGAAAGATTTCACCAATACATACATGTACATGGACGACAGGTAGAAGTCGAAACAGATCATAAACCTCTTGTACCATTGTTCAAAAAATCACTCTGTGATTGTCCTCTTCGCATTCAACGCCTACTAATCCGAGTGCAGAGATACGATTTGAAAGTATCCTACACACCAGGAAAATACATGTACACCGCAGATGCATTGTCTAGAGCGGTAGATCCACAGGCAGACATGCAGGTCGAAAGAGAAGAAGACATCAGAATCTATGTAGACACAATATTGGAGACATTACCAGTCACATCAAACAGAAAAAGTCAGTTTGTAGATGAAACACAGAAAGACAAAACACTACAAGAATTGATAGGCATCATCAAAGATGGATGGCCTGAAACAAAACAACAATGTCCAGTAGCAATTAGAGCATACTGGAACATTAGAAATGAGCTGTCAGAAGCCGAAGGCTTAATCATGAAAGGCAGCAGGATCGTTGTACCAAGCACAATGAAAAAACAGATGTTGGATAAGATCCATGAAGGACATTTGGGCATAGAAAAATGCAAGAGACGTGCAAGAGAAGTCTTGTATTGGCCCAGAATAAATCAAGACATAACAGAAATGGTACAAAATTGTAACTCATGCTTGATGTATAAACCAAAACAACAGACAGAAAGTCTGAAACCACACACGGTACCAAACAGACCGTGGGAAAAGATCGCTGCAGACTTGTTCACACTGAATAACAAAGATTACATGGTAATAGTAGATTACTATTCACAATTCATTGAAGTCTGTCCACTGTCAACAACAACAAGTAAAACAGTGATAACAAAAATGAAAGAAGTCTTTTCAAGACAAGGCACACCAAGTGAACTCGTGACGGATAATGGTCCGCAATTAGCTAGTAAAGAGTTCAAAAACTTTGCACAAGATTGGGACTTCTGCCACACAACGACAAGTCCGTATCATCCTCAGTCGAACGGACTAGCAGAGAATGCAGTGAAAATTGTGAAGAATCTCATCCGCAAATGCCAAGACAGTAGACAAGATGTCTACAGGGCACTACAAGTCTACAGAAGCTCACCACTAGAATGTGGAAAATCGCCAGCTGAACTCCTGTACAACAGGCGATTGAGATCAAACCTGCCCATGGTGGACAAATTTCTTGATCCACAACACATCAATCCTCAACAGGTGAGGGAAAGGAAGGAAGGGCAGAAGGTAAAGCAGAAAGAGCGATATGATAAACATGCTCGAGACCTACCAGAACTAAACATAGGTCAGACTGTAAGACTTCAAAACATGCACAACAATCGATGGTCACAAAGTGGCATCGTCAAAGTCAAACTGCCAAACAGATCATATTTGGTAGAGACAGAGTATGGAGAGATTAGACGAAGAAACCGACGTCATCTCAGACCGGCACCCACACGAAGGGATGATCGGTTCCAACAGACAACACAGACGGACAGCGATCCAGATGACAACGAGGATGTTAGCGAACCAACCCCTGAGCGTTCCGGGGTACCAGCCCAGCAAGCATCATCCTACATGACCACCAGAAGTGGACGAATAAGCAAACCGCCAAATCGAATGGACTTGTGAAATAATCACAAAAACAAATTGAACTATGAACAATGAAAAGCAAAAGGACTATATTAACAAAAGCTGATAATATCAAGAAGAACTGAAAGTGAAAGTTACACTTTGCCTTTAAAAGGACATTATATTATATTGTTATGAATGTTTTAACATTAACTGTATATATGTTTTTTGTTATATCCACAGATACTTGGAAGATATCAAGATTGGATATCGTTAAGTTATGTTCAAGCTCAAGTTAAAGCTTAAGTGTGTTAATCACTGGATTGAAAAGTTATTGGAAAGAAATAACATGCAAAAGAAATGTTGCAAAATATTCTGAATGCATGGTCAAAGAAACAACTCACAAAATCATTTATTTCTTGAAAAGTATTTGAAACAGATCAAAACAAACCCAACGCTCGCCATATATGCATTGTTTCCAGATTTGGAAAACATATTGAAACCAAAATTAATATCCAGCGATGTGTTCAAAAGTAAGTGTTAAAAATAATGTGTTATGTTATTTCTGTGGAAAAAGAATGTAACCCTTCTTAGAAAGGGAGATGTGCTGATATTATGTAAGTCTTGACAATAGACTACGGTTCTCAACATGGCTCATGAGATTGAATCATGACGCAGTTTGGTTCTAATAAAGACACCTGTAAACATTAACCTCCAAGCCTCCGTATCATGACTTCTACTGTAGAACCATTACCAAAATATAATAACAACATATACAAAAAGATCACTTAAAATCGCTTGAATGCAACCGTGTTTTAAACTAAAAGTCTTTAAAAAAAAATGTGTTTCTAGGGTGAGAAAGTGTCACTTGAACGCACCCTAGGAGTCACTCATTTAACCCTATTCTACTGGGATAGATCTACATGTACCAAATAACACAGGAAATTAGACCAAGATCTATGTTTTACATGAATTTTTTAATCATGCCATGTCTGTGATCAAGGTCAATTTCTGGAGTTTTAGAAGAAAGACCAGAATCAAAAAACCACACCCCCCCCCCTCCCAATCTCTCACTTCAAAGTAAGGAGGGGTGAGAGAAAGAGAGAGAGAGAGAGAGATGAAGCGCTGAAATGAAAAGAAAAACAAGATCTTTCCAACATTCATTATCAAGAAAATGTAGAATTTAAATTAAGAAGAACCACACTGAATGAAATGATTAAGAGTTGCAAGATTACAATAGTCTGTACATCATTTATCTATTTCTTTCTTGATCTATCTATCTGAATGGACTTCTTTTCATCTTCAGGAGGGTGTTTCACAAAGCCTTTTTTCAATGACAATTGACAAAAATCAGTGACAAATCTGCTGATAACCAATCAGAAGCAAGGATTTCAGTAGCTTATAACAAAAACTGTCATTCATCACTGATGACAAGTTTTGTGAAACGCCCCCCTGGACAGTTTGCACAAATCGGTAAAACCTAAAATCCACTATTTTTTTAATCTTAGTAAACAGGTACAATTGTTCAATTGTCCATGTACCGGTACATGATTCCTGATTCCTGAAGTGGCTTTTCTTCACAATGGCACAATTTGTACAACTGTTTGGCTGAACTACAAAGAGTTGAAGTTGAAGACCAAATTTATATCATGGTGGACTTCCCCTTTATTGTCTCTTAAATACTTCTTTTCCTTTAATAAAAGAAACAAACCTGTTTCCTAGTTTATGTCACTATACAAATATTCTTTGAACAAGTTCCGTATAAATTTACTTCAGTATAAACAGGCTAACAGATGGGTAGATCTGGTATTATCTGATAAAACAAACAGATTAGAACACTTTTATTGCGGTAAGCTATGTACATGTAAATCTCTTATCAAACGATGCGCCTTCTGTGTACACTGTACATAGCCTTCCTCTGCATAAGACTATATTAGGAACTCAATACATGTACACTTAACAACTTAATCATCCATACCCTTTCAATTTCATTAATTTATTGGATAATGTGATTCAACAGTTACTTTATTTCGTGAAGTTTGTGTACACTATTTTCTACTATTGTTATATTTCAGTATCTTTTACTTATGTTTGAAATTCAACCACAAGTTTAGGTTGCAATAAAGAAATAATGAATTTTTTTTGTGAATTAATGATTTGTCCCAATTCATTTTTCTTGAGAATGTGCCTAATTAAAGCTTACATCTAAAAGTACTCAACAAAGGCCCTCATTCAACCAGTCCACCTTTCATTTTTGAGTAACAAATACCAAAAGACACATTTTTGTTGGAGACATGTTTCTCTGATAAAAATTTGAAGAAGTTTACTAGCAATAATATTTCATCAATCTTTGAAGACTCATGTTGGACAATGTTATAATATTCATGACTTAATGAATAATTTATGTTCAACCAGTAGACAAAAGAGAAGTCTAAGCTTGTTAAGTGTCCAGACACACAACCCCCATCTTACTACAAGTCCAATTGGCTTCACAGAATTTCTTGGACGAGAGCGTCAAAAGACAAATATAGTAAACTCTGCATTAAGTCAAATCTGTTTGATGGTATGATACTTTTGGACCCTAAAAAAAATAGTTTGACTATGGACAAATTTGACTTTCAGTGTAAATAACATGTTTTGCCTAGTCTGGACTCTGGTCCCAAAAATACTACTTGTTCGACTTCCAAGTTATGCAGAGATGCAGAGTTAGAATTTGCTGTACATTGAAGAAAGACTCCTCCAAAAGTGTCCAAGCAGACATAAAAATTTGTCTAGACTCGGACCATTAGAGCAGTACATTTAATTATGACCCATATAAGTGAGACCCTGAGTGCAATCTAAATCAAGACTTCAAGAGGACCTAGATCTAGTGTAAGATCTTTGTAAATTGAAGGGTGCAAGCGTTAGAAGTTCTACAAGTGTCAAGGTCAAATTATTGGGCCTAACATCACGTACGCCCAACTTCCCGGCGACCGTTCGGCGGACTTTCACCAGACACACCGCACCCATTAGAACAAATACACCCCTTCACTGTGTGGCAGATGACACATACATAACAATACAGCCACCATCACCACACACTCTTAGCGATCTCACACCACTCAACGCGCCTAACCTCTCCCATCCATCGCGAGCCGTACCGGGGTATCCCCCAAACTTCCACTCTTTCCTTCTCCACTCGCCCGTCACCTCATAACTCACCTTTGTTTTATCAGAGAAATAAGAATCCCAACTTTAATCCGATGGAGCTAACAGGTAGTGTCACAGTCCAACTTGATAAGAAAGTCCAAAAGAAGCGTTGTCATGAAGAAATTAATCCGTGATTTGGTAACAATCCGCGTAATGTTTTCCGTAAATTTCTTCAGATTCATCCACGTTCTTCGCGATCTCGCGCGCTTATACCGGAAATGCACAGAAAACAGTCATCTCGCGATCGAGCTAGCGGTGTATTGTAATTGTAGGGATGAGTTCGGTCAGAATCTTTTTCGCACTAACAGCTGACTATCAACAGTCTTGGAAAACAGACCCTTGTATCCCCGGGGCACAAGTTTGACGTTAGAAGAATATACATGCTTACTTCAGCCTCAGACACAGGCGGCCATCCCGCCGGGGAGGGGGGGGGGGCAAAGTGCCCCCTCAATTTTTCAAATACCCCCAAATTGCCCCTTTTAACATCGGAAAAGTGGCCTTTTACTTTGTCAAGTGCCCCTATTAATTTGTAAAAGTGCCCCTTCCCCTTTTCACCTCTGATAAGTGCCCCCTTTATGTTGGCATGTGCCCCTTTTCCTTTGACAAGTTCCCATTTTCTTTGCAGTAAGTGTCCATTTTCCATTCTCTTAAGTGCCCTTTTTAATCTCTCGTAAGTACCCCTTTTCAGGTACGAGAAGTGCCCCTTTTCACTTTTGATAAGCAGGCACGTAGCCAGAGATTGATGTTTGGGGGGCACATACATGTAATCGATCGAGGTAAAAAAAGGGTTCAAAAAAAGTTCAACCGATCCAATTTTAGGGGGCACGTGCCCCCCCCCCCCCCCGTGGATACGTGCCTATTGATAAGTGCCCCCTTCATCTCTGATAATTACCCTATTCAAATCTGAGAGGTACCCTTTTTAACTTTGACAAGTGCCCCTTTTCCTTCTTAAGAAGTGCCCCTTCCCCTTATAATAACTACCCCCTTTTTAACTCGGATAAGCGCACCTTATATTTTCACATGTGCCCCTTTTCCTTTTTAATAAGTGGCCCTTTTCCTATTGATAAGTGCCCCGATCTAAAAAAAAAAAAAAAAAAAAAAAAGAGCCTCTTCCCCTTCATAAATTCTCCTTTTCATCTCTGGTAAATTAATTAAAATTACCCTCTTCAGGTACGAAAAGTTACTCCTTATCACTTCAAATAAGCGCCCCCTTCACCTCCGATAATTTCCCCTATTCAAATATGAGATAATGCCCCTTTCCTTTTCTTTCTAACAAAATGCTCTTTTCCTTCTTGTAAGTGGCCATTCCCCTTCCCATCTCTGATAAGTGGCCCGTTTATTTTAACATGTGCCTCTTTTTTTGAATAATAAGAGCCACTTCCCCCTTCTCATAAATGCCTCCTTTCACTTCCGATAAATGCCCCTTTTTATATCTCGTCAGTGCCCCTTTTCAGCTTTGATAATTTCCCTTTTTTTTTTAATTCGAGCACCTTTTTTTTGTTTCTACGGAAGCACATAACCCCTTTCCATAAATGCCCCCTTTCACCTAATATAAATGCCCCTATCGAAATCTGACACGTGCTCCTTTTCTTTTCTAATAAGTGTCTTAATACTTTTGATAAATGTCCCCTTTCCCTCTCATCATTAAACGCGCCCCTAATTTCAAACGGCTAATGTCATTTCCCCCCAAAGCTCGCTCGCTTGCATTTGGTTACTTATCAAAGGAATTTTAGTCTTCCGTTATGAGAATGTGCTTATACCTCCATCAGGATTTTTTTTTTTTTCTTCTTTATAAGATTTAATTTTTCGCACTGCGACCTCATAAATCTTGAAAGGGACTTTGTAACATTGTTTAGATGGGAGAAAATGAT